GACGACATTCTCGTGGTGGAAGACAAGTACGCATTGCCCTGCACGTCCGACTGCAACATACTGACTGTGTCCCAGGAACTTCCCCGATTCCATGACAGTAACATGGCACCCTCGTCTAATCTCCAACCTACTCACCACCGCCTTCGCCCCAAACATGACCTCGATCTCTTCCAAGGAGGCACCGCAGGCGACTGTCGACACCATAATCACCTTTGACGCACACGGCGTCTCCGGCCACCCCAATCACAAGTCGCTCCACGACGGAGCGCATACCTTCTTGAAGGCGCTCATGCACCGACACAGCGGGTGGGAGTGCCCTGTCAAGCTGTACACCCTCACCACTACCTCCATATTCCGTAAATATCTTAGCTTGTTGGACGCACCAGCTACAATTATTGGCGCAATTCTCCGCAAGAAAGAGCTCGGAGGCTTTCCGACTCCACTCCTGTTCGTCAGCTCACCGGTCGGTTACAGGACTGCCCAGAAAGCCATGACCACGGCACACGAAAGCCAAATGCGCTGGTTTCGTTGGGGCTGGATCTCCCTGTCGCGCTACATGGTTCTCAACGATTTGAAGAAGGAATAGTCGCAGTGGTGTTGGAAGGCGCACCGGAAATCTATTGTAGCCATCGAGACCTTCTAGTCTGAACTCTAGTAGGCCCATGCTGAGGCGATAATGTGCTACGTATATGGTGTGGCTGACAAACGGGAAAGAACACCCCATCGCAATTTCCGGACCCTGAAGTCGTGTAACATACCAAGGGAGGCAACTGGCGGAACACGGCAACACTGCCGCGGACAATGGGCTCCACCATTGGTCGTGCCTGAGGAACCTAGGGATGCGCGGGCTTGGAGGTCCGTGTGACTCTGGCATTACACAAGAGGCGTATATTGCATTTTGCTCACAGCCTGCTCACTCTTGCAATCCTCATGTCCTAGGAGTGTATTGCACGTCCTCTCGACAAAAAGCAGAGTCTGCGACTTGCTTTCACCCTTCGCGTTCTGCATACTTTGCGCAACAGACAGCAAAGGGCGCCGGGGAAGAGGTCCGCAACCACTTGGAAGGCATCAATCGTAAGCTGGACGCCGATCTTCACATAACACCAACTGACGCGCTGGTCTTAGACGAAACGACTTCGAAAGCCCGTCCGACGCGCACAGCGTGTGCACACCATGTCTTCTCCGCCCCTCCTTCGCCTGCCCGTCGAGCTTCATCTGGAAATAATCAGTCTTCTCGACCTAAGCAACAAAGCCAACTGGGCTTTCACAACTCGCTATTTCAGATCAATCATACCCACCCCGACGCATGCCGAGTTTCTGGCCGCCGAAGGAACTCCTTGGGCCAAGACTAAACAACTGTATACTTGCAAAGGCTGCATCCGCTTTCACCACTGGAAAGCCTTTGCCGACGATATGAGAAAAGGCAAATGGTGTCGCAGTGGTATTTTGGCCCACACAAGAGTTTGTCTCAAATGCGGGGTAAGCGATGCGCTGTACGTCCCAGGAACACTACTCACAATCTGCAATCGAGTTCACGTACTCTGCCTTTGCGGAGTTCTCACAGATCAAGTTGGCGACCGTCGTGGTAGGTGCGCTGGTTGTTCCCCAGGCCCGTCACGCAACTACAACTGTGACTACTTCAACAACGACGATGACGATGGCTGGAGGCAAGAACGCGCATCTGATCGAAACCACCTACGAGACATGTACGACTGGCCTGAAGAGGGACGCCTCTCAAGGTACTAAGACCGAGAGTGTTGTCAACGACTGTGGGTAGGCAGTATGTCGTTGGCCGCAGCCGGTAGCAATGATAACCTCGCGCACAAAGCTGGAGCATTTCACGGCCACGATCTCTTCGGGTATGAGACTACGACATCTTGTATAGACTACGGTTGCTGGTATTCCAGCGTTGTCCTCCTGTTCACGTTTGCCGCTGTGTTCACCAATAGACCGTTCGCAGACGTTCCTCCTTCCACCACGTCATGGCTGCTGTCAATATTCACGAATGCTCTACCATTCATAAGGTGCCCAACTTATGGTCCAGATTAGGGCTTTCACAGTCTACCGATCTCTGACGTTCGAGCCATTTGGAAGTAACGAAAGCTCTCAAATCACACGTTCGCTTGCTCTTAACCTGCGCTTCGCTATTCAGATCTCCCATAACCATAGCCTCAATCTACAGAAAATGCCGAACCCAGCGAAGCCCACCTCTGAACCAGACTCACCGATAGTCCCACCCGAGCGGCCAAGGACCCTCAAGCGACGCATTTCTTCCAGCTTCAATACTATATTGGCAGCCCTTCCCATACGGAGATCAAGCCCGCATATCAGTTCAAGTCTACGATCATGCACGGAACTCGGAGAAGAGGCCATAATACAACGAGGCGTTGCTGGCGCTAACCAGCAGGCTCCTCAACCCCCTCCAGTCATTCGACTACAGGTACCATCGCTGTCCGAAACCAGCCAGCCCTGTCCTTATGATGCGAGTGAATACCATTCCTTCCCTAGCGTGGAACGCCGACGCTGCGATTTCTGTGGCATGCGGCCACCGAAGTCACCCTCTGGCGAACCATGCAATGAATGTCAGTCCCAAAGCGCACTTTCCCACATGAAATCAGCTTTCACATGGAAGCCAGGTCGTAAGATCAATGAGGATCCAGCAGTTCAGAGCTCTCGTCCACAGCACAGTCCTTCATCCGAAGAATGTCCGCGTATAGTCCCTCCAGAAATCGCGGCGAAAAGGATAGGCAACCCACCGCGGAGAGCAGCACTGCCTGTGCCACGACCAGGTGCTATCAACCCGGCGCTACAGCAGAGAAATGCTACCAGGAGTGACGATATTCCCCGGCGATCGAAAAGCGCTCTTGATCATAACGAAGTGAGGCCAATCAGTCCCAAACTACATTATCATCGTTACTTACGCAACTCAAAGGATTACCCATACGTGCGCGAAAGTGAAGTTTCGCAGCACCTGGATGCCATTCGTGCCGGAGCCCCAAGTCCGCTAATCGATTTCGCCCGCGCTGCTCGTCGCAAGAAAACTTCGGATCCGACTACAGACTTCTCCGAGACGGTCTTCTATGGCCAGAAATTTTCAGCCGCCTTCACTAAAAGTGCAGAGCAACGCCAGTTGTCACAGCCGTCGCGTAGCAATCTCGTCGTTGAGGGCTATCTCGAAACCGGTGGACATGTTGTCGTTGAACGACCACGCCCTGAGCAGCAAGCTAGTATCGATGCACAATTGTACCATAGTAATGTCTATCCTAGACGCTCCCCAGAGCAATCAGGGCGACAATCCCGGGCTTCAAGACGGTCAGCTGATAGTCGCCGTCGCAGGAGGCGTAGAAACTCTGAAGATGACTTTAAGACAAACGACCAGCTACCAGATTTTCAAGAGGGTCCTGCTTACGATGAAATGCCAAGATTGCGAGGTGGTAGTGGAGGAGACGAAAACATCCATACTCGTAGCTGTGGTCTGGCGATGAAGCAACTGCTACTTACTTGTCACAGGCCTGGTTATGAAACTGATTCAGGTAGCGATGATTACTTGCCGCCAGCGAGAACCCCCAATATCGCCGAAGTTGCACGCGCTTTGCGGAGGGCACACGGTACATCTCGCCTTCCGAAAGGTATCTCGAGACGCGATGGATGTCAAGACACGCCACGAACGGGCAGATCTACATCTGGTGGCGGAGACGTTACCAATCCAGCAACCTCACGCACTGCAAGTTTTACAGCTACGTACCCGCAGCCACGCTCGATCTTCTCCTATCTACCATTGTTCGGTCTCGCCTCGATCTTTGCTCGCCTCACAGGCCCTTCTATCGATACTTCCGCCGTCTCCGCGAGTCATAACATACAACCAGCCACACTCCCTCCAACGGTCAGCCTTAGAGGCGGCGCCGGCTCACCTTCCGCTCTGCGAGATCATCAGCGTGTTCCGTCCACGCTCTTCTGGCTCGCAGGTGGGAAGGGTAAACCGATCACCACTGCTAGCTGGAAGAGTCAGAAGCCCCGAAGGAGGATGGGCGGAGTGTTTGGAATGGCTCTCCATGGGTTAGACGCAGGCACCGAGTATGGATCAAGGAAAAGTGTGAGAAATGACAATAGCAATTCTGAGCTTCCGCGACATGTTGCAGCTGCAGTTGCACCCGAAGCAAGCAAGCTTGCAGCGAAAGAGAAGGCAGAGAGCGTGAAGTCAGGCAGGTCTCAATCTTCTAGCTCCTCCTCTTCGTCAAAGGGTAGCACAAAGAGCCACAGCAGTCATTCCTCGACTTCCCATAGATCCGCTGCCGCAGGTAGCGAGGCACACAGAGAGTTGCCCTTAGACCCGGTGCCGGAAGAAGCTCCTGCTGCACCAGCGGTAGATGCTCCTCCAGCTAACCCCGCCACTGCTGAGGGTCCGCGAATACAAGCATCGAGGGAAGAAGCTCGTCCCGCCGATGATGCGCAACGAGAGCATGTGGACGATGGTGGTCAGGGCGCTGCACCCGTTCCGAATGAGAATGAGAACGAGCATGTGGGACAGGCGGCAGCAGAAGCAGAGGGAGGGGCTCAGAAGTAAAATGAAGGAGCGCTAAAGATATGAAGAATCAGGGTAGTGGGTACTGTATCATAGTATAACCGTGCTCACATCGAACGAACCCTTCATGCTTGCGGTACTACTTTCGACGGCACCTATGCTTTTCAATGCTACCCAAAACACCCGCACCTAATCTTCAAACTATATCGTACAAAGTCTCTACCCCACCATTTAACTCATCAGTCCATGAACCTGCTCTCCACTCAAAGTGGCCTTCGCAGCAGGTCTCTTCCCAGCCGCTTTCTTAGACGTAGGCGCGCTCGTCCTCCTTCCACCTGCCGAAGGCCTACTCGCACCCGCACTTCCACCGCCCCTCTGCGCTTCAACAGCAGCTTCATGTTCAATCTTGCTAACGGCCCTCGTAATCGCCATGCTGTATCCACCGATCCACTCACTCCAACTCTGTTTACCATCGCTGTTATCCACGGCAACCTCCATCGTCGAGCTCATGCTTCTCTTTGGCTTCGGCGTGGTTGCAGAAGAAGATTTTGAAGCGGGAACTTTGGTAGTTCTGCTGCTAGACTGTTGTTGTGGTGCAGAGGCGCTGTTCTCGGAAGCACGCACAGCGGCGGCGGCGCGTCGTTGTTCGAGGAAAGAACGCGCTACGTTTTGGGCAGCGGAGACACCTGATTTTATCGTCTTGACGTCTTCAAGGTTGACGTTGGCCGGGATGGGGATACGGTAGCTTCCGGATAGGGTGACTTGTCTCTCTGTACCTGCTCTTGCTCCGGGTACGTCCCTGTCAATCTCCTCAACGTGTTCTGTTCCGCCTCTTTTTGCTCCTTGGCTGCGAGGATTGAAGTGTTCTAGATCCTGTCTTGCCACCTCCAACTCGCCCTCGAGGCGTATGAGTTCTTCATCTGCTTCCTCCTCTTCGTCGTCGCCAAGTTCCTGGACCCGGGAATCGCTTTCATTGGCCGTGGTACTAAGTGTGGGAACCTGCGCTGTAGACGAGGCTTTTCGCCCTTTTCCTCGTCGGCGAGGGGAGCGGCCAGGTCGTGAGTCGGGAATCGCACCGGCTTTGTAGAGCTCTTCTACCTTGGCTTCCAAGCCTCTGACACGAGACTTCAACGCTTCGAGTTCGGAGGGCGATGGCACATCTGCCGTTGTTTTACTTGCAGTAGTAGACTTTGCTGCATCTGTAGATGTTGATGTGGGCTCCTTGTTCAGCTTCCTGGGTTTCTTCTTCGGTGTCTTCGCTGCCGGTGCGGTAACGTCATCTGTGCTTGGTGCTGCTGCAGGCTTCTTTGCTGACGATGCTGAAGCCTTCGCAGCGGGCTCTTTTGGTAATACGACTCCGCCTGCGGACCCTGCTCTTCCCTGTTCAGTCTGACTTGGAGTAGCGGCCTTCCTGGATCGTGCCTGCTTGGCTGGCGTTGCAGGTGTCGCATTGGGTCCCGGTGATGATGGCTTCGACGCCATTGTGTAAAGATGTCCCCTCTATTTGAGCCCAGGAATGATGTGTACCAAACCCCTAACAGCGCGCGTCGTATCTATGGTACGCTTCCGCTCGGTTTGTATAATGACGAATTGGGGCAACACCCATGAACGTGTCGATTTCCTAGCTCAACTAATTGGAATGAAACACTATATGCATCGCAAGACACGAAAAGGAAAGTGATAGCGTAGGCGATCGCCGCCAAAGCAAGATATCGAAGTTGGACACAGGCCGGGCACATCTGACGTATTGTGGCGCACGTACCGGGATCCTGCGTCGTGAACCCTGTTCGCGGCACGTCAACGGCGATCGACTAGACGTTAGCATCGCTGCACCACATGCAAGGGAAAGGACCAGACATTTTTAGCGGCTGCTTCCTCCTAGCCTGCTACAACGGGCTCAATCCAAGCAGTATACCACTGCATCGATAACCCAGAAGTCTACATTACCCTGGGGTCCATCAGGTCTTCCGCATCGTGTGTTGTTGTAGACTGCAGCATCATGTAACAGAAGATCTACTGACAAAGGCCAAGAACTCGCAGCCTTCAGGCAGATCTCCAAACGGCCACTTTATACCGTCCTCCTTGATGACATTCAGCGCAGTCAGGGGCTCAGCGTGATCAACCCAGAACGCAGTGTCGGCGCAGCAGACAGCACCCGTCTGATCACCCTGATCAAACAAGGAGCCCGTAGGTTTAGCCATCTTGACGTAAGGAACTGGCGAGGATTTCATAATAGCGGGTACAAGCTCCTTGATCCCGCTCAAATCCACCTTCTCGATCCCATGTCCGAAGGCTCGCAGAGCAGCACGGATAGTAGCAGGATGAGACGAAAGGATTCCGAAACTGCGGTCGTGTTCGTTTTCGCTCAGATGGAACAAGATCTGTAAGGTTCAGTGAATGCTGGCTGAGGTCAATAAGTTGTGTGAAGACAGACCTTTGTAGCCAGCCCGTTGCGCCTGAAATCCCGACCGACACATAGTTGAGTGATCCAGCCAATTCTGCGGCCCTCGTAGTCCCAGAAAGTTGCAAAGGCGTGTCCAGCAAGTTTGTTATCGACCGTAGCGCGCACCAGAACGCTGTCAGTACCCGGAGCAAGAGACTGCTCACGAAGTCGACTTTTGGACATCTTCACGGGGCGTCCTACACAAACATTAGCATTGTATTCATCAGCGAGAGTAAGTACTGTACCTACCTGGCTTGCAGAATTTACCCAATGTGCCCATTCTCTCTTCAGCAAGAGGACCCCAGATTCCATAGTTAGAGGAAAAGAGCTCAGCCGCTTGAGCGATCATCTCTTCCGAGACGTAATGGCCCTGAATCTTTTCTATGACAATAGTGCCAGACATAGTGTAGATGATCTTTCGTTTTCCAACTTCGAATATTGTAGCTATGACAGCGGAGGATGACGACCAAAGAACAGATTTTATAGTCCCAAATCGAACCATGGTCTGCATGCTTGAATCCTTGACAACGACCCACCCCTGTCAGACCCTCATACGAACCCTACATATACATCACAGTAATGCACCGCATTATCGCAAACATGCGTCAAACATTGGAGTGTAGATACTTTCGAAATTCTTGTTGCAGCTAAATACATGCCAGTGCATACCATCCCTCTAGTTCCCTAACACAGATCCATCAAAGAGAGAGCTTGGCTAGGCCACAACAACAGACATACTGATGGCGAGGGGAGATAATCGAAAATGTGGCATATCCTATATTTACCGGATGTGGAAGGTCTAGGAGGGCGACCAATACTTTTTGGAAACGAGCAGCGCCAAGGAACGGCATCGTAAGGGGCATGCAGAAAGAAGCTCGTAAAACGTCCCAAGTCCAGCCACGGACGCCTTGCAAATCGCGCTCGGATTAACAGGGCTGTCGAAAGGACGATGATTGTGCAGTGATGCAACAATATGGGAAAACCGCCGAACAAAAACAGCTGTGATTAACAGCAAAGCCCAGAAACACAAAGGACGCCACCACGCCGTCGAATATGCGTTGCGTTCATCCCAGATACAGCATCGGGGCTAGTCTCAATATTGATACGTCCACCTAAGACGCGATGGCGCGGGCCGGGGCACCTCCGCCTCCTCGGCGGTTGTTCTTAACGTTCTTGGTGGGCTTGGTGACAGTGCTCCAGCCATCGTCGTCCATGACCTCGGTAGTAGTGCCTTCAGGTGCCGCAGCTGTGCTGGACTTCCGCCTCCATGAGCCTTGTTCAGCCTTCGGTGGGTCACGAGTGACTTCTTGCGGCTTGACGTCCTTGTCGTGTACAATCTCTCCCTCGGCATCCTCATCCTGGCCGGCAGAATTACCCTCGTCCACCCGTTGGAGGATCTCGAAGTTGGACTTGGGCTTCTCCTCGCTATCATTCTCCTCCTTCTTTGTCGGCGTTGGCTGTGCTGAGTCCTTGGGCGCTGGCTTCTCCGCGGCTTCCTTGGCCTTCTTCTCCTCGCGCGCCTTGTCATCGGCTTCCTTCTTCTGGCGCAAAGCAAGTTGCCTCTTCTCCTCGATCTCTTTCTCACGAGCAGCGGTGTCGATGGGTCGGGCGGCACCGAATGGGTTGGGCTTGTCCGAAGGAGTGGACGCGTCTTGAGCTGGTTGAGCCTCGGAGACGGTTCGCTTGGCCAGGTTCAAGCGAGGGCGGCCGGCGGGTGCAGCGGCCTGCGGTGCCGGTGATGATGGCGTGCTAGCGTCGGGTGTGGATGTTGGCGACTTGATAGGCGCATCGGGGCGCATCTTGGATCGCCACTGGTTGTCATTGTCTGCCGCAGTAGGCTGCCTCTCAAATTGCGGTCGCTCCTGGAACTCACGGCGGGGCCCACGAGAGCCCTCAGTGCCTTGACCCTCGCCCCAGGCGGGGGACTGTCGGCGGCCCTCGCGGGGACCTCCTTCGAAGCCACCTCGAGTGCGGCCGCCCTCGCTGGGGGGAGGTGCAGCGGATGGAGAAAGGGGTCCTCGGCGCTCCCAGTTGCCAAAGTCGCGGGGCTTTCCGTCGCTCTCGAATGGAGGTGGGCGGCGACGCTCACCACGCTCGCTGCCGGCGTCGGATCCTGCGTCGAAAGCGCGGTCACGGCCCGAGCCGAAGCCGCCGCGTCCGGAGCTGCTGCGCTGGCCAGGTAGATCAGGGAGGGGTCCCTTTCGGGTCCAGTCTGTGATGACGCGGGCTTCTTCGCGGTCCTTGGCTGTGACTTGTCAGTAATTGTTTGAGTGCATCGTGTAGACACATGACGTACGGGGTTCAGCGACGCTGACACGGATATTCCTGCCCTGGAAAGATGTGCCAGACAGGTCAAGCGCCTTCTTCAGTCCATCAACGCTGCCAAATTCGACGTAGCCGAAGCCCTTGGGCTTTCGGTCCAGTTTGTCCTCGACGATGCGCACGTTGGTCACCTCGCAGTCGGCGAAGAAGTCGGTCACGTCGCCCTCGGTGGCATCGAAGGAGAGGTTGCCCAGGTGGGCGGTGTACGGGGGCTTGGAGGGCATGGGGAGCGCCTCGCGAGTTGCGAATCCACGGTCGGCTGGGGTATTGTTAGCATACGCAGATGCATGTAAAGAGTCTCTCCTCACCATAGCTGCCAGCGCGGTCAGCACCGAAGCCGCTGCCGCCGCCAGAGCCAAAGGTAGGCCTGTCGCCTCCATAGCCAGAGCTTCTACCGGCACCTAAAAATGTGTCAGTCTTCCGTCATGTGCATGTTCGCGCTGCGACAGTCGGTGGGGTGTATTACCGGCTCCTGCAAACGTTAGTACACCGGGCCACTCCCTAAGCAGAATGCGTGTCACTCACCAGGCATTGGCGCGTCCTCCATTTCGTCGGCCCATGATCCTAGCGCTGCTACATGTCAGTCTTCTGCGCGCTCGGGGACAGGTAGGCGGGGCGTACATTGGTCATTTAGGAATTCTCCCAGGCCCATGGTCTGTTGCTTCTTCTTGGGCGCTACAACACATCGTCAGCCATGGCTTCTTGTTTTGGGCGCGGTACAGAGCGGGGCAAAAAAGCCGGCTCGAGTGACGCCTGCAATTTGCGTGCGCACCGCGGCGACGTACCCATGATTGCGGTTTGGCAGACTGTGCGCGAGTAGGTTCGGCGCGCTGTCTGATTCGAGTCTGGAGAGCGGTCTCTTGCTCTCGGGTGTGGTCTTGGTGGTTGCGGGGTCTGTGGTTGAAGCGTGTGTGGGGTGAGTTCTTGAGACTTTCCCGAACGGAAATCTTAAGCTCAGGCTGTGCGTTCGTTGGGCCTCGCTTAGTCAGCGCCTTTGCTTTTCCAACGGCGGCGAACCTTGCATTGTCCTTACCCGAATCTGGTCCACGACCTTCAGCCCCCATGAAAGAGCGATGAAAGCCAAACATGACCCAGACCAGGTCACGCAGCCTTTCGAGGTTGCCCGGCAAGCACTCTATATTGGCGGAGCCTCAGGTACGCACATGGTCTTTTCACCACTCCACGTAGTCTCGCTTCATTGTAGTCGTGCGCTTTCATTTCACTGCTGCATAATCGTCGTCTTGTCAGCTTTTTCTCACCTCATAAACTTTGCCTAACCTGTTCCAGCCGTCCCTGGTACCGTGATTGGTGCCTTCTACGGTACTATCCGCACGCAAACTCCGGTTCTCTTCTCCATCGTTTCAGGAGCGCAATGGTTCGCCATTGGCAGCACGTTCTGGGGCATCCGCACGTCAGTCCTCAACCACGCTGGCTTACTCAACTGGTGGAACCTCACTCGCGGGGCACCCGTCTATCCTCGCACCGACCTCAACCCAACCACGTCTGACAAGGTTCGCGCGTCAGCCCTTGCTGGTGGACTGACTGGATTCAACCTCGGCCTCCTCTTTCGCGGCCCTCGAAATGTCATTCCAGGTACCATCATGTTCACCCTGTTCGGCTGGGCAGGACAGCATGGGTACAATTACCTCGACGCCAAGAACTCCAGCGAAATCCAGGAACGAGCGAGAGGTGAAGCCAAGCCCAAGGAGAACCTTATGCAAAAGATTGCAAAGAGCAAGTGGAGTCCGATGCAAGTCTTGACCGACGACGACTACGAGAACATGATGCAGGAAAAGCTTCTTCGGGTCGAGGCCCAGATCGCGGTGATTGACGACAAGATTGATGTATTGAAGAAGCAGGCGTTTGAGTTGGAGACGCAGCGGAAGATGAAGGAAATGCAAGAGCAGGGACAAACTACCAAGTGAGAGGATGTCTTTCTAGTGGTGCATGTCGTAGACGTGACACCTGATATGCGTTGTGTAAGATATATTTCATTTCTCTTTGTTGCTGAATTCCTATGATCTTTCTTTCCTATTGCGCGACAGGTGATCTTGCTCTATTTTATTATCATTTCACCAAGTAATTGTCTCGTCCATCGTTCTGCTTCTTCTCTTGACCCTTATCATCATCTATACATATGTGCTTGATCATCTAATTCCCCTTTTTCATTATGCAAAGAAATCGTCTTCAAGGTGTGACTCGAATACGGAAGTACCCGTGGACAGCACGGCTGGAAGTCGCGCTACAAGCGAGTCCATACACGTCAAAGGGATCATAGCTGACGTTTGATCCCTTCGCAGTAGCTACGCGTTATCACTACTCTCCGAATATCCGGCGTACCCTCCGCGCTCTACTCGAGACTGATCGGTAGGGATAGACCTTCGCCCTGAAGAACGGCCGTCAAGCACTGCGGGTGCCTCCTCTGAACTCGTCATCACTCTCACCACCATCACTCTCGCTTCCCGTCGGCGCCCCGACCCTCCGCCATCGCACAACAAACACCTAAAATGCAAACGCGCACGCCCGCGCACGCAGCGCTCTCACCAGGCACCTGCGCACTCGCCTCCAAACGCGCCTTCACTCCATCCCAGGTCCCACCCCACACTCCACACCATCTCCCCCAATACATAGCACTTGAATCCGCAATCTTCCATCAACAAGCCGCCTTGGCTGAAGTTCGAGAGGAACGACCAAAGACAGGAGCCCGCAACCACAATATTAACGGCTTCCGAATGGTTAATCGGTCCAGACCCAACTCACCCAAGGCGCCTTGTTCGATTCCCTAGTCTGCCTTTAGGAACATGTGGACCCTTGAAGGATACAACAGACAATAATGTCCAGAAACGAAAAATCAGCAATGGTTAGACGTCGTCTTCTATCTTCGGATAGAAGATGCTTTTTTGCTCTTTTTTGCAACATCGTTTTTACTATGTTCTACTTTTTACTTTTCGTGTATATTTTACTTACAGGCAAGGCGTCTAGCATTCTCCACATGTATTTGCGTTGCGCAAAAGCTAGAGAAAGAAAGAGAAGTGTAAGATAGCTAAGAAGGACTTGCTTTATAGAGACGGCAATTTGTAGGAGACTTAAGATTAACGCAGAGAAGCTTTACTTTTGGATTTAACATTCGTGGAATGCGCACTCGGCGAACGCTACATACCCTACTGCTTAACATCAATCGGCTTACCGCCCTGCTCTCCACTCTTCAAACAACTCTCCAGGATCTCCAGATCCTTCAACGCCTCCTCAGGGCTCTGCATCTCGTTCCTCTTTCCTTGCTCCAGACTCTTCGCCCAAGCCTTGATCTCTTGGTTCACGCCATTGCCCTCATCGGGAAATTCTTTCGTCTCTGGGTCTTTGCCATCCCTGGTGATGGTGACCTTGCCGCGAGCGACATGAACTGAGCCCTTCTCGCAGGCAACCAGGTACTCAGAGCCGGTGTCGGTGGTGCCAAAGCAAATGGACAGAGTACCAGATGCATCGTTGTCCAGCTGCATAGTGGCGTTGAGTGTATCGACAGGAGGAAGGTGCTCCTGAAGCTGCGCGGTGAATGCGCTGACCTTCTTGATCTTTCGGCCGCCACCTTGTAGCAGAAGACGCGTCGCCGCTACGAAGTGCACGCCGCCGTCAAGCACGAAGCCGCCCTGGTGATCCGGCTTCTTGCGCCATTCCGTCTCGTAGTACTTGCTGCCTGCCGACACCATGGCAGCAACACGTACACGGAAGGTAAGAACGCGACCTAAAGAAGCGACCTGCTCAGAACCCCAGACGTAGGAGTCGATGAAGCGGAAGTTTTCGGCTACGGTGTAGACTGCAGAGGTGTTGGAGGAGTCTTGTGTCCATGCGAGCAGTTCGCGTGCGGTCTCTAGGTCTTTCGCGATGGGCTTCTCAGCAAAGACATGTTTCCCAGCTGCGAGGGCTTTCTTGATGTAGTCTGGCTGGGCAAGGATCGGTAGTCTGAGTTGCGACACGTTAGCAACTCACTTTCTGTACTCTAGCCAGTATACGTACGCGATGACTACGCCCTTCACATCATCCCTCTTGAGTAGGTCTTCGAATTTCTTGCCATCCTGGTCATCGCTGTAGAGTTCGACGTCGGATAGCTTCTCGGATAGAGCCTTCGCCGACTTGAGTGATCGCGAGTAGACTGCTTTTAGGCTCAATGACGGGGTGTCTTGAATGGCGGGCAAGTGTTCTTCTTTGGCGAAGATGCCGCTTCCGATGATAGCTATGCCGATAGACATCTTGATGGAAGTTCCCCAAGTTGATGGCACAGGAGTTCTTGGAAGATCTTGTACAGCTCACTCCCCTCGAGATATGTAGTCCCAATAACGGCTGTACTGCGGCTAAATGGCAATTGTAGCGGAGGAAATAGTAATCTCTTCCAATAGTAATCGTTTCCAATAGCATCTACGCCATGACCCGTCGCGGGGTACATGTCGCTGCCCCACGATGGCGATGACGTCGGGCACCATACCGTAAATGGTCAAGTGCGATCAGCTCCACGGGTTGCCGACTTTGTCGCAGCCCTGGAGTCGGCCTTCCATCAACATCGATATCGTACAACGCCCATCGCACATCTGTCAAGCTTCCTGTCCTGCATGATCGACGCGACTTTCATGCATACCATGTCGCGCATTGGACACGCGATCATCACGCGTCTTGTCTTCGGCAGTTGAAGCGAAACGTGAAGAGCGCTCTACATCCACGCATGAACGCGTATGCTATGCTGATAGCAGTCACAGAGCGCAGCCTGGATTACTGACAGTCGTCGCAATGCTTACAGAAGATTTGTGCATTCGCACCCAACGCGCAACACGCCAACGGTTGTATCATCTCTTCCAGGGTCAGGCACCACACGCGCCATCGGATCTACCTGTCTACCTCCACCTCCCGATAACATAAAACGGTCCCAACAAGATAGCACTGTGGCGCACCATGTCATCACATCACCGCGTGGATATGCTTGTGATGGTGTCTTGGCAGATGTCAATGTCCAAAGCAACTGGTAGCGGCTGAGACGCGTCCACAACCAACTATCAACGGCTGCATCGATAGATATGCTGCCAGGCAGGCATGATTTCCCTGTATTTTCGGACACTGGGGTTTTCTACGACCGCGGATTTTGCTTTCGCTGGGGCGTATATATCTCTGGGAAGTTCCGACATACTGAAACACGTCGCGTTGGACGTCGCGTTCGGCTAGCCCTGGTCAGGCTTCGGCAGTCAAGCCCATGCAAGGCGTCGATCGACGAGCATGGTTGGTATATCGCTTTGTCTCAAACGCTTCAGCGTAGTTTCGTTAGTATCAGGCTACCCTTGATGCCTCGAGCCCTATCGCAATGCGGTCATAAGAGAGGTTGGCCCAAGGCACTCATCGTTCAGAGCTGGCCTCGCTGTCCTACTGCTGCTGCTTCATTCAATACACATTTTAATTACTCTTTCTCAACGCAGCGCGTTCGAAAAGACTGCCGGCAGTCATCTACATTCCTTCCATTCTCGTTACCATTCTTTTTCTTTCACGTTAGCAGACCTAGGTACCACCAAGATGGGTTTCGGAATTCTAGAAGACCGCCATATGGCAGCTCCTCCGGGAACATCTACCATCAACGACTCTGAACCTTCCCGTAGGATTCATCCCTCGGAACAGTAACACGGTGTCACTAATCCCTGTTTAGTAGACTCAAAGGTTGACTTCAGCGACGTCAAGCGCGATGGCGATGTCATCCTGCAACCACAGCCTTCGGATAGTCCCAACGATCCGCTCAACTGGTGAGAGACTATGAAATTTCCGTCACGATACACTGTCTCACGCGCCACAGGTCACCGAAAAGGAAGGAATGCATTATGATTCTGCTCGCTTTCAGTTCTGGTGTGACAACAGCGTAAGCATCGAAGACAGTCCATTGTTTCCACAAGCTGAGTCTCCGCCAGTCTTGGACCCATGGTGACACCCGCACTTCCACTCATCGCCATGAAGTACAACGTCAGCATCGATATGGTTTCCAGTCTGATCATTGGTTTTCTCGCCTTTTGGATCGGTTTCACCACGTTCTTCACGGCTGCTGGAGCGAATATCTGGGGCAAGCGACCCTTCTTCATCATTTCCACCGTGATCCTTCTTGCAACGAACGTGTGGGGATTCTTCACCAGGGTATGTATCGAAAGATGAGCTAACAGGTTCTTCGTTGACAGAAAGCAGTCTTTCGTCTCTCTCGCTGTCATGCGAGTCGTGCAGGGTATTGCATCAGCACCTCTCGAGACACTCGTCACCTCCACGGTGTCCGACATGTACTTTGTCCACCAAAGAGGTACTAGAATCGCAGTCTGGGGTTGCATGTTAGCCTCTGGTGTGCTTCTCGGGTAAGTTCCTTTCCACCCAGTTCATCGCATCTGCGTACTGACCCAGTCTTAGCCAAACAATCGCCGGTGCTATCATCCAGAACGTTTCTTTTGAGGCTACTTTCGGTATCTCCGCTCTGATCTTCATTCCGATTCTCCTTGGCATGTACTTTTTCGTCGTCGAGACCACCTACTATGGCGCCCGTCCTACGACGGACAAGCTTGCCGTCAATGAGAAGCACAAGTCCGTTTCCTCCGTTTTCGAGCTCGAAGAAGAGAGAGAGTCATACCACAGCCAGCTAGCGCTCTTCCGTGGCCGCTTGTCGCAAGAATCATTCTGGAAGAACGCTTGGAAGCCTGTGCCGCTCATAGCATTCCCGGCAGTACTGTTCAGCACAATCGTGTATGGGTCTTACTTTGTGAGCAAAGCCCATCAGCTTTCTGCGAGACACGCGCTGACTATCATCTTCCCCTCTAGACTTGGCTACTCACCATCTCCGTCCTCTCAGTCAACATCTTCTCTGCGCCACCGTACTCGCTGAACCCGGCACAAGTCGGTCTTACCAACCTGCCTCTCCTCGTTGTCGCACTTATCGGCTCGCCCCTGTCCGGCTGGACAGCCGATGCTCTCGCGAAATTCATGGCCCGCCGCAACAAGGGTGTCTTCGAGCCTGAATTCCGCCTGACTCTGATGGTACCAGCCGTCATCTTTGCTACGATTGGCTTCCTCGGCTTCGGCATGAGTACTTCAGCTGGCTACCCTATTGTTTGGCCATTGGTATTCATGTCCATTCACTCGCTCTCCGTGCCGTTCGCATCAACAGCCAGTCTGACCTACGTGATTGACTGCCACCCCAAAGATGCAAACCAGGCTTTCGTCACCATCAACTTCACAAAGGCGGTGTTCACCTTCATCGCGACAACGTACGCGAACGGCATCATGGCCAACATCGGACCACGCGCGGTGTTCGACGGCATCACGGTCATCAACTTGGGAATTTGTGCGCTTACCATTCCGGCGTATGTGTTTGGCAAGAGGTTCAGGAGTTTGGTGGCGCGGAGCTCGTTCGGCAAGAAGATCTCTGGCTGAGAGCTTGGGCCGCGTGCCTTCTACTGCGACGACAAGGCATGAGTTCAAAGGGATGGTGATGACATATGTAGTTTCATGAATACACACAGTCGTTATAGATCTGAAATGTCACAAAGCACTGTTTTCATGATGAGACAGTATGGGTATTGTGCTACTTGGGAGCTGGTCCGCGTTGGCTTGATCACAGGAGCAACTTTAGATTGTAGGAGTTGACATCGTGACTTTGAACCTGTGTTGAATCTTGTAATGTACAGAAGGAAACATGTTAAGTAGGCACCGAGAGAAGACGGATGCAGTAAGTAACTTTTGTATTTGAAGAGAACTCTTTGGTATCGTGAATCTAAACATAATGCAACCACACCCAAACGCCGTTGACAACTTCTGTCGTGCCTTGTGCCAGACATCCCACTATCTCTTCGTGAGTGAGCACATGCGTCCCGCGCTTGGTGCAAGTTTTCGCATGATAAGTTTGGTCTTGCGATACATCCAAGCGGTTCTCTGCGCTCTGCGTCGTCACTCCTGACGGCGCGATATAGTGGCACAGGTCTTCGCGTCTCGGCGTTCATGTCGCATCAAGGTTCGTCTGCTAGACAAGAGCAAGCGGCCTGCTGTTGACTGTGACGTCCTTGGAGTCGTATGTCGGGCGAGCTTTATTTGCTGAAATTGAATAGTAGCTCGATGCTTCAGTTCGTCACTCGTCTCGCACCGCCATCCATCTCTCTAGCGCCTGGTCTTTGCGACAACATCTGTGCCATGGACTGTGACGCATTTGAGGCTGACGAAGTTGCGTATCTGGGGCTTAGCGGTGATGTCAGACTGGCTCGTCGTGATGTCGAGATGTTGATGGATGATGGAGATGATGAGGTTGCGTTCTTGAGGAAGACGCGCGCAGGTGGGAATTGGCTGACTGGCGGCATTGTGATTGTGTATGCGAGCTGTATTGTTGGTCTGATGTGGTATGCTCGAGGATGAAACGTGATGATCGTTCGGTGGTAATAAGAGCAGGGCTTGTTGTTTGATGTCGTCAATACGATGGCACGATGTGTAGTAACCGGATGTTGGATGTCTCTTCTCAGCTGATGGAATGTCTGTTATAAGCAAAAAGCGTAGCAAGAGCAGCAATCACTCATCTTATATCCATCCACGAATCCAAATTGACTCACCCAACTAGACCCACACTAACTCTCTACCCTCGGAGTCACAAGCAACTCGCCCATCCACGCAAGCCTCTAGCGCGCGTGCCCCCCAAACCCGCCCGCGCCGTGACATGTGAAGCCCTTCCCGTTTCGAGCCATGATCACCCCACGGCATCGTGAGCATCACGTCTTGCACATGCGGATCCGGACCCAATCGGCGGATAATTCTCGTTCCAAAGGAGACGACTACGATCAACGCAGACTAAACGACATGCACGCGATCGTGGGTTGCGTCCAGCTCATCTAGCTCCCGTTACCCCGGGTGGGTTTTCCGTGTGCGACTACGGTGCTTTGAGCAATTTGTCTTTTCCCCCAGTTTGCGCGAGCCGACCCTCCACCTCCACCCCCCAAACGCCCGGAAAAGCAAAAAAGGGCCGAGAGGCGCATCGCATTGCGCATATACTTGCAGCTTACACACCTACACAATTCGAGCAGCAGCCAAGGTGCCGAGGCGTGTGATGGTAGCTGGTGCGTGTTTGAACTTTGTATGGTGCTCGTGTGTGTGCTTGTTTGGAGATGGGAGGCTGCGACACGTCATGCACGGAGCCTAAAGTGCGGGGTGGGCCTCCGCGAACACTGGCTAGGGCGAAGCAACGGCGTCTGGTTTGACGGCCACAGAGCTTCTAGCATGCTTCCACCGAATGTTTGGACAAGTTTTAGCCTGAGATGAAAGATACGACGCGAGGTAGATCACCGACGTCGGAGGATCTCCCGTGAGTCTGGATACGAGAGATGTTGTTTTGAGCGGAGTAAGTTTAGATGGCATGTACGACACTGGCATGGAGATCGCGATGCGGGGCAGCTGATGGGTCACAGGTAACCTCAGCGAACGGTGTAATACATGCTCTGCTCTACAACGTTTCTTTTGCGGCTTGCACTAGCGCGAAGATATATGCGTGTACTCATGTATACTGCGGGTGTAACTGCAAAGCAATGCATGCGAGAAGCCAGACTCCGCGGGTATTGGGAAATCAGCCCGACATGTGAGCCCAGTCTCGTCATTGTTGCGGTGTAACGGTGTTTCAAGGCTGCATCCACGACAGCACGTTCAGGCGGATGTCTGGCAAGTCGTAGTCAGAGAAATGACATTGCTTTTCATATCGTACAAGGTCGGCCAACTTTTAGACGTCGCAATATAGTACATCCAAGTCATTATCCAAGCCTTCTGCATCCGCAGCATTAACGTATCTTGCAGCGCACAACTGCGCCCAGGTATCCGAACATGCAAGCATATCCACACAACACGCATGCTGACATGCCGTTCGTATTATCCAATTGTCCCAAAGAATTCAAAGTCGAGTTCAGGGGATCTAAGCTCGGCCGCTGCGGACGCGCTTGGCTTCGGGGCGCTGAAGGTGCGAGGCAGGGATCCAGCTCTCATCGTAGGCCTTTGCGCCGGAAGTGACAGCAGGACCATCAGCACCAACGACGGCAACCTGATCGGCGGGGTCGACCTTCTTGCTCTGGCCCGAAGACGCCTTAGCACGCTCACCACCCTTGCCGCGGCCCTTCTTCTGCGGGAAGAAGGTGGAGATCCAGGTGTTGTAGATGAAGTACACGGTTCCACCGAAGGCGCCAAGGAGGACGAGGTACAGGAAGATGCTAGAGAGAAGTAAGTACATGTGTCCAGGCTGAGTGGTGGATTGCTACGTACATCTGGGGGTCGAAGAAGCTAGTGGGCGCCTCAACAATGCTGACAGTCTCGTTGTAGACCGGGACGGTGATGAGGTTGTTCTTGCTGTCCTTCAGCACAGTCACGAGCTGGAGGCGGAGATTCTGGGGGTGCATCTCCGTCGTGAAGCTGTAGGGAATCGTCTCGTTGGCGCCAGCGGGGATCTGGATGGAGTAGCGCTGGCGAGTGAGGTTGCGAAGGATCTGAGATTCTCCCTTGATCTCCTGGATCAACGAGCCACCGACAATGGTGACGCCGACGGGGGTTGGCTCATTGTTGACCACAGACAGACGCGCCTGGGTGGCCTGGCCGTTGACGAGCTTGACGCCGAAGATCTCAGACTGGGGGAAAGAGACGGAAACGGCGACGTTGAGGTTGGGCGTTTGCGGCTCGTCTACTGCCTGTTGCACCTTCTCAGCCTGGAGACGCGACCGTTAGCCATCTGATGTCATGCTGCGTCAGAAAGTTTGGAGCTTACCGCGGGCTCAGCATAGGTGCCGAGAGCTCGGAGAGAGAGCAGGAGCAGAGATGAAAACTTCCAATTGACCATGATGAAGACGACACAAGACGGGGAGAGGGATGAGAGGAGGAGGGACGGCGTGTGGGAACAGATGGGGTAATTCGAACGTGGCTTCTGGGAAGTGACGTCCGGGCGCAGCTGCCTCTTGGCGTCGGAGGACGGAACTAGAGCCGCGGCAATGCGACACCATCTCTCCACCTCCTCCCCTACAACGAAGATGGTGAACAGGTGCACTGCAGCCTACATCATTATGAACACGAAATGTCGCAAAACCTGAGCGCAATGTAGACTCCTAGGTCATTTTATTTCTATCATCCTTGCGTCAAGATGAGCTATCGCTTGACACTCTCTGTGGCTGGCCCCTTCCAAGTATAGACCCGTGGACTGTTTCCTGGTACGCGCCATGTCGCGTTGTACATGGCATCCACGCCGCAAATGTCGCTCCTTCTATTTCAAACCCAGCGGCACCCATGGTTCTGCGGTTTGCTATAATTGCACATACGCCGCCTTGGAGTGGCTGCCCGCCGGCGTTGCGCATGGCTGCATACCGTTAAAAGCCAGACTGGCTGTCTTCACTGCCCAGTGATGTTTTATGTCACCGCAATAACTCACCTTCACTTGCGGTTTCCTATTCGGGCTTGAAAAATCTATACTAACCGCAGAAAGAGCGCTCGACCCTCCTGAACCTGCTTTCTCTCCACCTTCTCTCATACACGTAAATCGCAGTCATTCGATTATCTATCATTCAGTCACACACCCTGTTCGCCGATCGCCTGCGCCCTTTGCGATATGTCGCCTTCGCTCAGCGGCCTTGGCCTGGCTTCACCGGGCCCCTCCGACGCCGATTTAGCAGACTTTACCAGACGCTTCGAGCAATTCCAGCTGTACGAGGATGAAAAGGCCAAGTTCATGACCGTAAGTGCACTGTAACTGTCACTATCACTCAGTCGTGACTGACGCGCAATAGGAAATGAAAAATCGGTATGAATATATGCACCAACAGGTAAGCTCTAACTGTGCGAAACACGTGTGAGGCATGTACTAATTTCGTACGCTACAGTACCAAATATTGGCCACCGAACGCGACCGCGATCGCAACTGGATCCTCGCATGGCAAAATGAGAAGCAGCAATATGAGAGGTCGCACCGGAACCTGCAGCGGAATATGGTAATCCCATCCAGCCACACATCGCTTTGGAGCTGACTTGGACGTGACAGGCTGAGAATCCATTTGTTATGGTACTGATTGACGGCGACGGCATGATTGTGAGCTTCACGTACTGCGAGTTGAGTGCATTTTGCTGACTACATACAAGTTTAGTGACGACTTCCTCCGCGAGGGAGAGCAAGGTGGCCGCCGGGCTGCTGTCCAATTGTTCGCCGATATCCACGAGTATATCGAGAATGAGTGCCAAGATATCCCATTTGGTTACCGCGTCGCCTGCCGCATCTATGCGAACGTTCGGGGGCTGGGCGACGTACTCGTACGCAGGGGGATTTATGAAGACATCATCGAGTTCGAGGACTTCGTGCGTGGATTCACGCGGGGAAAGACATTGTTCGACTTTATCGACGTCGGTGCGGGAAAAGATCGCGCTGACGAGAAGATCAT